TTATTTTAGACCTTAAATGAGATACTGCAAATTAAACAAGATGTATGTAAATTAAGAAATGAACATGATGAATTGAGATGTAGACTATCACAAGTAAGGAATTAAAAAATAGATTATGTTCACTATAAATAAGTACGTTTACTTATAATTAATTACGTCATAACTTTGTAGAAATCACATTATCCTGAATGTGATAAAAAAACATGTTTATGGAAGAGTCGAGTAATTGACTTACAAGATCAAGTTAAAATACTACAGCACGAGGTCTTTAATTCAATTATCACTATAATTATTAACAATTAATTAAGAATACAATTACTTCTACTATGACCAAGCTTTCTAATTCATTAACTTGTATCTACCTTCTTTGACAGGCAAAATGTAATGAAGAAGCAAATAATTTTCTAAGAAACAATATCCAGTCAATGGAAGAAGAACTCCATATAACACAAACAAAAGCAGACAGCTTTAGAAGATCACATTCTATAGATATCGTGGAGTTAAAGAAAACAATTATAGAATTAGAAAATACTGTAAGCATTAACTACGTAGTACCAATTTTATGATGAATACTAATTTGAAACATCAATATAGAGTGGTTTTAAACGGCACTATAATATTTTAGCTTAAATTTCAAAAAGACATCGAATGCACTCTTCGACGGCAGTTAGGTGATAGTGAAATAGCATTGAAGAAATCAAAAGAATTATTAAACTGTTCTGTAAGTTCATTTCTTGTAAACATCATTTTATTCACGTACCATGTTGCTGTGATAAAAAAAAATAACATGAACTCATAGACATTTTCTAACATAATTTGAATTTTTTAATATGAAGCACAACGAATATTGTATGGAAGAATCACTGTTACGCTGCGAATGCTATCAATTTAGACACGATACAACGGTAAATAATGCCAATTATTTCTATGTACCTAATGAATTTCTAATGTACCTAATATAATCAATGCATTGTCTGTTTGCAGACTGCGCCTCAAGTACTGAAGACTGTACAGAATACTATAGGGTCTACAAAAAATGGCCTCCAAGAACTAAAAGCAGAATTTAAAAAATTGGTTTGTTTAAATTTTCTTTCTATATGATCAGTGGCCATAATGAAATAATATGCCTCAACTTTCGAAAAATATT